AAAAATGAAATAAAAACCGCCATTTGAAAAAGAAAACACGTCGGTTAATTAAAATTAATTTCAAAACGGTTAATAAATATTTTAAACAACGACGGTAAATAAAATAATCAACGACGAAAAATAAAGAATAACACGACGGCAGAACTCAAATCGACGAGTTTACGGATATAATCAATTGATGATTAACGTCGTAAAAACATTGTTGCACGTCAGTTATAATTAAACAATTGACATCTCGGAGAATACACACGTCAAAAAAGGTTATAAAAGAGACTTAACAAAGGCTAGCCACGTCATGGAACAAATAAATAACCGACGTAGTAAGGATATAACAACGTCGAATAATTGGATTCTTCGGACATAGTAAAGCCTAACCACGACCTTCATTTTAGAATAACCGACGTCAAATCCATAATTCAAGGCGTTTCGTTACTTCTTAACGACGGTTAGGCTAAAAGCAATGACGTCTCAAAGATTAAACACGTCTAAGTGGCTCACAAAAGAGACTTTTAAAATGCCAACCACGTCAAGTAAATAAAAACCGACGTTGTAAATTACTAACAACGTCCTAAAATGTGACTCCTAGGCCATAGTAAATAGATTAAACATGAAAGGTATTTTAATTAACCGACGTGTAATATTAAGTCCACGTCGTTTATTTCTCTGTTAAAGCCGTCAAAATAATTTTCAACGTCTGTGGTGACCTAAAGGGTCGTGGTTAGTTTTTTTTTACGTCAGTCCAAGTAAATATATGCCATGTTAAATCTTTTAGACAAAAGTGACGTCTAATTTACCATGTTATATGTTTTAGACGTTAGTTTTTTTATTTAGTGAACGTAGTATTTCTTAACCACGACGGTTTTTAAGTTTTACACGTCGGTTTTGGTTTAATTAGAGACGTTGATAAAAATATTTATGTCGGGTTTATAGTTGTTTTTGACATTTAACATTATTTAAACGTCCGTGTTTTACTAAAATCGTCGTCTAATATAGTCGAATGTTGTCTTTTTATGCTTTATGTATGAAACAGACGTCGGTTTTAGTTTTTTTAATGACGTGTAATATATTAACCACGTCGGTTATTTGCCGTCGTTATTTTATGTGTTAATAGACGGCGGTCGATTTCACGTCGGTTTAAAAATATGAAACACGACGGTGGATTCCCGTCGTCTATTTCGTTTTTTGTAGTAGTGTTTGTTTTGCAGCGAGAAAGAGACAACGAAGAGGAAGACGGAATCTTAGACGAATATTCTCGTGGGACGAAAATTGCTCCCACAAATTGGTGCTTTCATTAAGAGTACGAGTTATACTCAACGAGTGCCCAAGGAATCTGTTCCTCCTATTTTCCAATCCACCAAAGCCTTCCAAACAACCATGGTTGGAAGCAAACGCCCTAGGAACAAAACCACCGTGACGGCGCACTTCGGAATGGCCGAAACCTCGCTGCCACCGCGAGGTACAGCTGCTGCCAGCATTTTAAAGCAGCCTCCCATGGCTGCCAACAAGTTTCAGCAGCCCCCTAGCGAGTTCCAGCAGCCCCCCGTGGCTGCCCGTGCCATCCAACCACCTCTGGAGGCCTCACAACCTCTCCAAACAGCTGTTGTAGCAACCGAACAGCCGCCAAACTGTCAGGCCAACTCCTCGCAGCTGCAAATCACCTCCGTGAACCACCAAATAGCAGCTGGAAGCACCACTAGCGACTGCACCAAGCCACTACCTCATGGCTTTCATCGCCGTACAACCTCAAGGCCTAGGCGCCTGTGCCGCAACCAATGACAGTCAACCAGCGTAAGCATCTAATGGAGCCCTAGCCCATATGTCATTGGCCCCAATCCCCACCTCTCTTCCCGACCTACGCAGTCAAGTGGGCCTTAACTCACGAGTCGATCAACTCACACAGAGGGTCGACGACCAAAACAATCTAATTGGCCAACTACTCAGGCAAATCAACTTGAATCAAGGCCTTCACCTTGGAGCCCGTGATGAGGAGAGAAGGATCCACGGGCATACCGACAAGCATTTCGAGAGATCCCAGACTAGTCGGACAGAGACAAAAAGGGCAGGGGACAGAACAAGATCGTGCTGAAGAGACGCAAACATCTGCAAGCCGTACTCTAAGCCGGTCGACGATCCATTCGAGGTTAGGTCCAAGGATCAACGTGCACGAGAGGTTGGGCCCACAGTCCAATGTCCACGCTCGCTTGGGCCAGCAAAAGAAGTATCCGTTTTGGGCTGGGCCCACAAAGAGCACGAGTTCGTGAATAATTGCGTGGTGAATGCAACGACCGACGCTCACCAACCTACTCGAGAACCAACTCACGATGACAAGCTGTGAAGGAATCCTCGCAAGGTCAATCTACTAATCTGCCTCACTGGCAGAACAACCAAGGAGGTCGACCTTTGTAAGCCAACGAGGAAGTCAACCAGCGTCGCCTAAATTGTGAAGGTCACCAATGTCACCAGCATGCCATGCGCGCAGAGGATCTCGAGAAGCTCGTAAATAACCAACTTCGAGACTTAAAGATTGGCAGAAATTTCGAAGATATTCTACGTAGGGAGGTAGACCAAGCAAACTCCATGCCTTTCACCGCTGAAATTGAGCAGGCTGCTGCCCAAAAGTGATTCCCAACGCCTTCTTTCACACACTTCAAAGGGGATTCCAACCCCAAGAGCCATCTGAAGCACTTCAAGAGTGTTATGATCCTCTATAAAGTCGAAGACATGCTGATGTGCAAGGTGTTCACAATAACCTTGCGAGGAGCAGCCCAAGACTGGGTTCTACACCCTGTCATCCGGGTCGATCAGCAGCTTCAAGGAGTTAGCTTACGTCTTCACTAAGAAGTACACTTCTTATCGAACGATCAAGAAGAACCCTAGCCACCTGTTCAAACTGTGAGAAGTCAAATGAATCCCTCTGAAATTACATCAAGAGATTCAAAGCAGAAAATGCGAACATTGTAGGGTACGATGACCAAATTGTGTCCTCTACTTTCAAGAAAGGTCTTCCAGCTAAGCACACGACTTATACCACGAGCTGACTATCGCTCCCAGCTAGACTCTGATAGAGGTCTTCGCGACCGCGGAACGCTACTCGCTCTGGGATGACAATAGAATCATCGCGAAGAAGTCTACCAAGAAGGAAGATCAGCCAAGCAAGTAGGCAGGCCAAAGAAGCGACAGGCTCAGTAACAGGAACAAAGACAAACGTAGATCGTACCCACAAGGAGACGCTACAGCAGAAGAGAACTACACCAAGTTCACTATCCCCATACATCAAATCTTAGCCCAAGTGAAGGACAAACCTTGGGTAAGAAGACCGCCACCCTTGAAAGGAGATCCAGATAAGAGGGATGCAAGAAAATATTGTGCCTTCCATGGGATGCACGGGCACAATACAAATAACTGCTTTGCTTGGAAAACGCACCTCGAAGAACTCGTGAGAGAAGGCCACTGCATGGAATTTATTGCAAAGCAAGCCACTCAGTAGATTGAGGACCACGATACCGCCAAGGAGCCATCCTAGAAAGTCATAAGGATTAACACAATCCTGGCCGACTCCGATGAGTCTGGGCTGACCAGCAAAGAAGATAAGAGGAAGATCAAACAAGCCACTATGATCTCCCAAATCTCGACCAGCCTCCTACCAGCAAAAGACGATCCCATGATCAGCTTCCAAAAGAAAGATCTAATCAGCTTCGATCTGCCACACAACGATGCTCTTATCATAAGCATTCAAATCTCTCAGGTCATGGTTGACCGAATCCATGCAGATAAGGGCAGCGCAGCCAATATCTTGCAACTGGCAGTCATCCAACAGATGGGCTTGGAGACGAAGATCAACAGTTCAGCCAAGTCGCTGACTGGCTTCAATGACGCGACTACGGTTACCGTGGGCACGATAGACCTCGACATCTACTCTCCACCAGTGATCTCACAAACCTTCATGGTCGTTGATGAAGTCTCCCCTTACAACGGCATTTTAGGTAGACCATGGATTGGCAAGATCAACGCTGTCACCTCCACCACACATCAGAAAATTGTACCTAATCCCTAAGGGCGATGTCAGTCAGATCAACATGGATCATGCAATTTCGAGGAAATGCTCAACTCAAGAGCTGAAGAAAAGCAAGCAAACACAGTTCATCCCTATGAATAAGGCATATCTGAAAGGAGTAAACCAGAAAGGAAAGGGAATAGATACTCCCCAATAGCAATCAAAGCATCAGGACCAAGTCGAGGGAATTCGTCCGGAGGTCTCTCTTAAATAAGCATGGAATCCCAAAGAGGATGTCGAGCTAGCACCCATTGATCCTGACAAGCCAGAGAGAAAAGCACAGATCGGCTCGAGCCTAAGCCAGGATTCGAAGGCAGAGCTTGCAGCCTTCCTCCATAACAACAAAGACGTATTCGCATAGTCACCACCAGACATGCCATGCATCGATCCCCAGATCATCTGCCATTGCATTCACGTTAACCCAACTATCAACCCAGTAGCGCAGAAGAGACGTAACTTCGTTCTTGAGCAAGTTGCCATCATTGAGGCCAAGATCGACAAGCTCCTAGCTGCCGGTTTCATTGAAGAAGTCGCTTACGCAGAATGGCTGGCAAATGTTGTTCTACTAGCAATGAAAGATAAAGGCTTGTGAAGAGTTTGCATCGACTACACCGACCTCAACAAGGCACACTCAAAAGACAACTTTCCACTGCAAAGAATTGATCAGTTTGTCGATTCAACTTCCGGCAATCAGCTGCTCAGCTTCATAGACGCCTACTCCGGCTATAATCAAATCCGGATGCACGAGGATGACAAGGCAAAAACCTCTTTCATCATCGAGAGAGAGACTTACTACTACAAGGTCATGCCATTTGGGCTGAAGAACGCCAGAGTAACCTACCAAAGGATAGTGAACAAAATTTTCTATGAGCAAATCGGCAAGACTATGGAGGTCTACATAGACGACATGCTAGTGAAAGCTCCCCAACGAGCAGACCACATCAAAAACCTTGCTGAAGCATTCAGTCTACTCCGAAAATACAACATAAAGTTGAACCCGAGAAAAAAGCACATTTGGAGTCTCATCCGACCAATTCCTGGGATATTTGGTCACCTAAAGAGGAATTGAGGCACATCCAAATCAAATCAAGGCTATACTCAATATGAAGTTGCCTACCACAACCAAGGAGATACAAAGTCTAACGGTAGAGCAACAGCTCTCAACCGATTCCTCTCAAAATCAACCAACAAATGCAAGTCATTCTTCAAAGCATTGAAGAAAGGGCAAAATGACATGTTGGACGAAGAGTGCGAAGTAGCCTTTCAGAGCTTAAAGACCTACCTCACTTCGCCTCCCCTACTCTCAAAACCGATACCAGGTGAAGATTTGTTCATTTACCTAACGGTGTCCAACTCAGCCGTCAGCTCAGCTCTCATCTGAGAAGAGTTGGGGACACAACATTCGGTATTCTACACTTCAAAAGCTCTCCTCGACGCAGAGACTCGCTACCCAAAAATGGAGAGGCTTATTTTGTCACTTGTAGTTTCTGCAAGAAAATGAAGGCCCTACTATCAAGCTCATTGGATAATTGTCATGACAGAATTCCACTTGAGATCGATCCTACACAGCCCCGATGCCTCTCAGCAACTCATGAAATGGGCTATCGAACGCAGTCAATACAACCTCCTCTACCAGCCAAAGACTATTACAAAAGCCCAGGCTTTAGCAGATTTTGTTGTAGAGTTTACTCCGACAGCTGAAGAAGAGAAGCTGGTCACGAAAAAAAAAATTGAGAGCAGACGATACCTCCTCTGCCGATCCAAACCTGCCTAACGACATGTGACAGTTGTGCGTAGACAAAGCATCAAATCATAAGGGATCGAGGGTAGGCATCGTAATAATCACCTCAGACGGAACTTTGTTGAAACAAGCCATCACATAAGGCTTTCCTGCTTCAAAAAACGAGGCTGAGTGCGAGGCATTGCTCGCCAGACTGCTCCTAACAAAAGAACTGTCGATCAAAAGATTAGCCATCTACTCAGACTCCTAGCTAATCACGAATTAAGCCTCAGGCGAGTACATGACAAAACATCCAAGAATGATCCAGTACCTAAACAAAGTCCAAGGACTTTTGAAAGAATTCCTTACTTTCACCATTCAACAAGTTCCACGAGCAGAGAACACTCATGCAGATGCATTGGCCGACCAAGCATCGAAGATCAACGCTAGACACCCAGTTCAAGGATCAACGCTAGACACCCATTTCAGAAGCTTCATCCCGATCAAACACCTTGACCGACCATGCATCGAAGAAATAGAGCCAATCGACACAATGCAGATTGATGAAGACCCCAGCTGGCAAGACCCCATCATCGATTACTTGGTGAATGGAAATCTGCCAACTAAAAAGTCTGAAGCTAGGAAGGTCCAGCAGAAGGCCGCAAGATACTAGATGCAAGATGACAAGATCATTCGTAAATCATACTCCAGCCATCATCTCACCTATATAAAGTACCATCAAGCACTTGAGGTCCTCTGCAAAATTCACAATGGCGAGTGTGGCAACCACTCTTGAGGCAGGTCACTCACCCAGAGGGCTCTAAAGATAGGCTATTTTTGGTCTACCATGCGCCACGACTCCACCGAATATGTCAAGAGATGTAATCACTACTAGGGGTACAAACCGATTCCTAACCTGCCTGCTGAAGTCTACTATCTGTAGAACAGTTTGTAGCCATTAATGCAATAGGCCATTGATCTAGTGGGTCCCTTGACGCTGGCACCTGCCAAGAAAGACATGATGATCGTCACCACTGATTACTTTACTAAATGGATCGAGGTCGAAGCTCTGTCCTCTACTGAAGAAGCCGACATGGAACGATTTGTTTGGAGAAACATCATCTGTCAGTTTGACTGCCCACAATCACCGGTTACCGACAATGGCTCACAATTCATTGGCAAGCAGATCACCACCTTCTTTGTAAAATACAAGATCAAGCAACACATGTCCACCCCGAGGTATCTATAAGGCAATGGTCAGGAAAAGGCATCCAACAAAATTATATAGGATTGCCTAAAGAAGAGATTAGAAGGCACCGAAGGAAAATGGGTAGATGAGCTCCCTAGAGTACTATTGGATTATCGCATCACCAAGCGAAGATCAACTAACAAAACTCCATTTTCCCTTGCCTATGGAACGAAAGCAATCATCCATCCTCACATCACTGTCCTCTCCATAAGCATTGAGACTGGCAGTGTTGATCAGAACTCTGAACAATTGAAGCTCAACCTCGACCTACTCGAAGGAGAACGCAAGAGAGCTATTGTCCTAGTTGCCTCCTACCAGCAGCAGTTGAAGTCTTACTACGACAAAAGGGCCAACATCATACAATTTCAACCGGGTGACCTTGTCCTCAGAAAGACTTTCATCACTGCACAGAGGCAAAGATCAAAGAAGATGAAACCCAATTGGGAAGGCCCCTACGTAATCAGCCAGTCCGGGGGCAGAGTAAGCTATACGCTTGACACCAAGCAAGGAAAGGCGATTCCACGACAATGGAATGCCTGCCACCTCCAAAGATATTATCCATGACACTTCCTCCTACCTGCTCAGTTCCAAGCAGAGGATTGAGCCCTGCATATTTATGAAGAAGAGAAGCAACTACTGGAAATTCCAGAATGTGCCACACATAAAAATGGTTGCCCATAAAGAGCATCTTAAGGGAGACGCAAGGCGACAACCAAAAGCGTCATTCGGGAGACGCAGCCCCACAAGAAACGCCCTTTGGGAGACGCAAGGTGCGCCATGAATTTCCTAAGGGGGGTATCCAGGTTCTTATTCATTTCCTAAGGGAGGTAGGACGGTCACACAGCGTCCTTCGGGGCGCGCAGCCCACAAGAAGCGTCCTTCGGAAGACACAGGGTGCGTCAGGAATTTCCTAAGAGATGTATCCAGCTCCCTATCTTAGGTGGGCATAATAGTCACACAGTTGCCCATAAGCAGCATCCTTCGGGAGACTCAAGGCGATGACCAAAATCGTCCTTTGGGAGACGAAACCCACAAGAATCGTCCTTCGGGAGACACAGGGTGCGCCCAAAATTTCGTAAGGGAAATCTAGGTTCCCATCCGTTTCCTAAGGGAGGCAGGATGGTCACATGAAAGCGTCCTTCGATAGATACAGAAGAAGCCCGGAGTCCCTCAAAGGGTACTCAGGCTCCTGTCAGTTTCCTAAAGGAGGCATTACAACCAAAGTTTCTTGAAGGAGCATAAGACGCCCAGAGTCATTAAAAGGGGACCCTGGCTCCTGTCAATTTCCTAAGGAAGATACACAATCAAGACACTGGTCGATTACTCAAGTAGCTCACAAGACAGGATGCAAATTGAAGTTGAAAAAAAATCTGAAATTTCCATAGCAAAGTGACCAACCAGCCAAGTTCAACAAGAAAAAGATGGTCAAACAAGACCAATTATTCTAAACAAGAAAGCAGACTACAAAAGCTGAAAAGAAATAAAGGAGTCTTAATCTACTCCAAGACGTTGGCAGATGACTCCTCCTGCCCAACCGGCAGATCATCAGAGTATGGACCATTCTACTTCCATCTCTCAACGTCCTGGGCAGGGGGCAGACCAACAACTTCCTCACGATACTTGCTCAGCAGCCACCAACGACCACCGCGGCTCCAACCGTCTCCGACCGGCAATCACGACAACAGCCAGCCTGGTCCCACCCAGCTAGTCCTTGCCCCAAAAAAAGAGAAGACGAATAAAAGATATATGTGCTCAACTTACCTTGTGATGCACAGCAACTCCTCTTTTCGACAAGCAGTACAAATTCTCAAAGATCTCTCTCAAGCTAGAAAGTAGAGAAGTTAAGTTTACGATGTGAAGAAGAGTAAAGAGAAACCATGCATTTATACAAGTTGGGCATCCTAGGTCAAGAAGGAATCGCAAGCCCATTCCTACTGGGAACCCAACTCCAAGAACAGTCAAAAACCCATTCCAACTGGGAACCCAATTTCAGAAAATTAGCAAGTCAAATACCTCCTCCACTCAGAAGCC